ACCTACTGAGGTTCTTGGTACATAATACCTCATAAATTCCAAAATTCAAATAAGTACTTTAAAGTACGCCTTTTCTCGGTCTTAAAAGGTAGTTTTTAAGTTTTGTGAAATGTTCAAATCATATTTTTCTGGACCAGATCAATGACATCGTGAGATATCACAGCCTTCTCTCAGTGTCCTTCTAGAATTCTTGTGCATAGCAGAGATGGTCTGAGTATCAGAATGGATCAATGAATTGATAATAAAAAGTTAAAATAGAAAGCATACGTTTGAAATATAATTTCTTTTTTTTGTGAATTGAGTAAAATGTAAATTGAGTTTGCTTTTAAGAAGCGGGTCCAGGATGAATACAGCGTGTATCAATCCTGGTCCTTGACCTTGTTGAACGCTCCCTAGATACACTGTATATTCCTGCTCGTTATGTACCTAGAACATCAGTAGGAATACATAAGGGTTATGTACTGGGCGATTTTGGATACAGGGTTTATCCCAAGGGAAATATGTGTATATCCCGAAGGACCGCAGGGGCCGAGGGATATACACATATTTCCCGAGGGATAAACCCTGTATCCAAAACCGATCGTACATAACAGATCTATTTCATACCTACTGATGTTCTAGGTACGTCATATACCTTATAAAGTTCCAAAATTCAAAAATATACTTAAGATACGCATTTTCTTGGTGTTATTAAGTGTTTTTTTTAAGTTTGTGAGATTTTCAAACTCATATAACTCATATTTTGAAAAATAAAATTTGAAAGAAAAATTGAAAAAAATGTGAAAAATGGGAAAATATTTTTTTTTTAAATGTGAAAAAAATTTTAAAAAATTTTAAAAAATGTGAAAAAAATTTTTAAAAAAATATTTGCCAAAGAAATTTGAAAAAATTCAAGAAAAAATTTGAAAAAAAAATTGTGAAAAAAAATTTCAGGAGCGGGACCAGGATGGATACAGCGTGTATCCATCCCGCCCTGGGCCTTGGCTAGATACAGTATATATTCCCGCACGTTATGTACCTAGAATCTCAGTAGGTATGAAATACATTAAGTTATAACAGTGACATGGAATTACTACTTTTGTTTTGATCTAAATCTTAGTGTCTCATGAAAAAAAACTTTGGTAGATGTTGACAGAATATGAGAACATGAATATATAAGCACAAATGCCAAAGGGAAGGGTGACTAAAAGCTTTAAAGAAACCCAACAAGAAAAAAACAAACTGTAAGTGTAAATCTGTCATAAGAAAAGTAGACCCTATATATCCCAAAACCATAATCTAACGTGAAAAGAAACAGTGTCTAACATCCCCCTCCAATCGAGAACCAATATCACAATCCAGGACCAGAACACCAAGGGACATTTCATTCATACTGAAGGTATGAAGTATTAACCTCTTGAATCCCAGGCTCTAAAATTGGCATGAAACCAGATAATTTTTCATTTTTTGCCACCTTTTGACATTTTATTACATACCTATACAACTTTAGATGTTCAGCTTAGTAAAATTGGACGGCAGAGATCATTTCTACACGTTTTAAAACAATTTTTGTGTAAATTGGATGAAAATTGTTCAAATGAGAGCAATTTTTGTGAAAAATTTTGTGACGGATTTTCTCGTCCCTCTGGGTTTCAAGGTCATTTCTGAGGTGACGAGAAATCTCGTCATTCTGGGTAGTCAAGAGGTTAAAATCAATATACAGTTTTATGGTATACATAACACAAATGAAAAATTAATTTGTTTTTTATAATTTCTTATTTCATATTTATATAATTTTTCTAAGACAATTATATCAATCATAACCATTGCCTGCCATTCAGCATTATTTACAAGTTTTAAACTGTATTGCCATAGCAATTCTGCCAGTCCTATTTCGTTGTCCATATGGCTTCTAGTTTTAAGTGCCATAGTTGTAGGATCCACTGCAAAGACCGTGTTGCCATAGCATAGGCTTCTAGTTCTAAGAGCCGAAATTTTTCGATCCACTGCATAAACTGTGTTGCCATAGTGACACTGTCAGTCATATAATGGTGGCCACATGGCTTCTAGTTCTAAGTGCTGAGATTGAGGGATCCACTGCATAAACTGTGTTGCCATAGCAACACTGTCAGTCCTATAATGGTGGCCACATGGCTTCTAGTTCTAAATACCGAGATTGTGGGATCCACTGCATGTAGGCAGATAATAAATCTGAAATATAAAAAAATAATCCACTTGAAGTGTACGAGAAAAATAGCTATGTTGACCAACTGACCAAAGTGTTTATTACAGGTGAGTCCATTAAAAAGGGGTATGCCAAGGCTTAGATTAAATACAAGAAACAAGTGTTGCCAAATTATCTAGTCAGATCGATACAGAATTGAAAAATCTAATTTTATCAATATTGATACCTATTGTTAGGTATTAACAGATTTTGAAGAATTCTAGCTTTTGCCCAAGTAGATGTTGTAATGAAAAACAACCACTTACTAAAGAGTCTAAGGTCAAGTTTCGTCCCTGTTATATATGAGTAATCTACTAATTTAGAGACTGTCACATTTCGAGAGGATCTAAACTAAGAGAGAAGTTTAGCATTGTCCTTGATGTCATACCTAAATGAATCAATCTTTTATTTGGCTTGGTCTCTTTATAGTACAGCACCTGTTTTCCAACATATGCATATTACTTAGTATTCACAATGTATGAACATGATCATTAGCTACAAAACCAGGTGACTTACATGTAGGTTGACTTTCCCAGATCTTTAACAGTTTAGTTTTACAGTCAACTTGTTCTGTTAATAATTCTTTCAGTAGACTCTCTGTACGAGGCTGCAATCTGAAAGAAATAAACATCAAATGTTTACAGTAAAACCACTAAATCTGAACAACTGTCAATTTAAACACTTTTTCGACCCCATATACTGTTACATAATTCCATGTTAAAAAACTCAAAATGTGAACACCAGCCAATCAGATCACTCTAGCTCACTCCAAGTGGCATTTGGATTAGACAAGTTTTACTCTATGTTATTGGGACATGTCTTCAACTAATATGACTAATACAAATTGCAAATCCGGATATACACTTGCTAAATAATTATATTTTGTCAATGCATCTCAAGGATGTGTTATATAAATACTTACTTGGCCCATGACTTATTCTGCATCTGGAGGATATGTGTTATATAAATACTTACTTGGCCCATGACTTATTCATGGTGGCAGGCGCAGACAGCAGATCCTCTCTGAAGCACTCCAGCTTAGGACATACAAGTCCCTCTAAAAGGAACCTAGCGAAATACTTGACACGGTCTATACACTCTGGGTACTCTAGCTCCACTGCAGGGATTTCCCAACAACGGACCCCTGTAATAAAGTGTCTCTATTAACATACAACATATACCAATGAGGCAATACGTCTCACTTGCCTCATTCATGGTATCGTTCAGAGCATCATCTTTAAAGGCAAGCTTAACAAGGCATTAACAGGCAAAATGTCACTACCTGCTATTTGTAACAGATGCTAACAGCCAACCACAGAATGCGCCAAACGTCATCATCCATAAAAAAGTTGGAGACGATAACTATATGTCACTACTTGTGAGAGAAGAGAATTTTCAAAGATTCTGGATGATACAGAAAAGTAAATATCTGGGAACTTACCAAATGTACTCGTCATGTGTGTGAGAATATTTCCTGAAGAACTGTCGTATCTAGGAGGGGGTGAGTCAAGAGGCTTAGAAAATGTACAACCATGGGGCACAAACACTGGCAGCCACTCTGCCTCTATCACAGAAACACCTACAATATTGGAGAATACTGTAATGATTTTCAGGTTTATATAATTATGCATGTACGAATTTATATATTCATTACATGAATATATCATTTCAATTCTATTCTTTATCTGCCATTAAGTTCGTGAGTACTAATATGTGACCATCAATTTATAAAATCATAACAATTTTCCCTCATGTCTTTCTCATTCTTTGTCTTTCTGATATTTTGTCTTTCTCAGGGAACATATTTTACCCCCAGAAAGGAGGATTATAAGTCCAGCGTACATTTCTTCATCCAATTGAATACTAGTCTTTCTATTGGCCCACATGTAAACCTTTCTCTGTGACAACTTCCTTTTTAGCACCCTCTCTCTGGAAGTTTTCCTTCTATATAACTCTATCCTCATTACCCCATCAAAAGTTTGTCCGATATATGAAAATACAATATGGCGGATCTCACCTCTCATGTAGAGTTTCGATGTTTCGGTGATGTCTTGGAACACGACATATTCATGGTCTTGTTTGTATAGCACAGAATTGGGATGTATGTAGACAGGCTCCTCTAGGTGTATACTCTAAAAAAATTATGCAAATCTAATGATCACAATGCCAATGAATCCCATTGAGCATTGAGCAGTGATTTCCTGAGCATTAAAGCAAGTGAGCCAAGTAACCACTTGTATTTTGAAATAGGTTTTTACCCATTTGATATCCGATTTGCACACACTTGAGAATGAGAAAACAATGGAACTGCAAAGCAAGTGAACATGGACATTATGAATCAAAGATTAAAAATATCAGGACTTCTTAATCAGGCTCAAGTATGTGCAGACAAAATGGCCTAAAGCTTAAGTTTGGATATTGAAAATATTGTTGTAAATATTCAAACTATAAACAACGTTTTATTGTCTTCTAAAGTAAGAGGAAAACACATAATACAATTCTGTTACGTCAGTAGCCAGGGGGGCGTGGTTTGAGGGGTTCGAGCAAACGCCCCTGGCCAAAAATTCTTTCAAAATCATGCAGTTTTTCACCATTTTGATCACTATTCCAGTGATTTTGATCCTAATTGGGACAATGTAGTAAAAAATGAGCCCCCTGAAATTTTTTAAAAAGTAAACCTTGGCAAATTCTGGATATGAGCCTGTATGTTTCCTGTCTTGACAAGTCGTACAATGAGTAACATTACAATGAATTAATAATGATAGACCAACATACAGAATACATCGTGAAGACTAACCTGATATGCCATCTTTAACTTTTTCTTTTCTTCATTTGTTCCAGTACTTGGTTCCTGAAGTTTCCTGAAATATCCGTCAACAAAACAATAAACCTAAACACCACATGACTCAAATCCAATTGTGGTTATTCATGGAAACTTAATGATGAGTCAAATCCGATTGTGGTTATTCATGGAAACTTTATAATATATGATTAAAATCCACAAGTCATCTTCACCGATGATTGCTTCCATTTCATATGGATTATTTCATGTTGACAGACCTCGTTCACACTCTATTCTGGATAACATTTCTAAATTCTCACTAAATTATCAAATCTTTAACTTACTGATTTAGCAACTGGGTATTTTGAGGAATTACTGAAATTAAGTATCTTTTACTTAAATAAGACATAAATACCTTGCAATGTGATCCGAAAGGCCTGTCAGGATTATTTGACGTAAAAGCTTCGCCTGTAGTTCACTAGGGGGCGCCATCTTTGGATCCATGACAACATTAGCTGATGGTAGGACTGAGTTTACTACAATAAAGATAAATAATGAAATAAGAAGTTTTATCATCATTAGGCACACTGAAAAGTTTTTGATACTGTATATCCTTTTAAAAAGGTGGCTATTTTAAATTGAGCAGCCATTTTGAAAATTTGTTCTTGAGCAAAGATCTCATTCATATACCATTAGCCTACAAAATTTGAACCAAATCCTTGACTTGTATCTAATTTATCAAAATTACATTCTTCATGACAATAGGTGACAATGTCAAATAAGTGGCCAGCTCTCGTGAGCAGAGGTCCTATGTCGCTAACACATCAGCATATGAAATTTGAACCAAATCCAGCAACCAGTGTTTGAGTTTGCAACTCTGAACCTACGAGAGACCGAGTCGTCCAGATTTCTATTCTGGACAATCAGCAATGTCCAAATATAATTGCTCATAAAACATCATATATACCTTAGATATATCTTGAGACCAAATCATAAGCAGGATATCACCAATATATTGAGGATATTAACAGGACAACCAAAAGAACAACCAACTGTCCAAATTGAATGCAATAAGTCGAAAACAGATTTGGGGATTTATATACATTCATGGTTCGCAATGCTGACATAAAACCAAAATTTGGTGCATTTATGTTTTGCAAGTTGATAGCCTCTAAAATACCTCTGAGCTTACTGATACATGTGTGAGATGTTGATGAATATAAGCAATCTAAGCAGTTCATTTCAATATCAATGGTAATCGGTAAGGCATCCCAAATGAAAGTTGGATAAATAGAATATAACATTGTAAGATTTGTATTATATAATTCAGAAAAAATATTTTTTTGATATGCATCTAATTGATTAAAATAGGAAAGAACAGTCAGAATGACATCCCCAAAAAGCCAAAATCGTAAGACTCAGAAAAAGAAACAGATGAAAAAGAAAAACAAGAATAAAACAAACAAAGACGACAGTGAGTCAAACATTTCTAAAGACACAATGGAAACTGATAACGAAAGTGAGCCTTGTAGTGATACTGAAAACTCTAAGCAAGTGAATGGTGAAACAGAAATCACTAACACTGGGAAAAATGAAAATCAGTTAAATCTGGCAGATATCCGTGAAGTGATCAAGGGAGAAATTGAATCTGCAAGAAAATCCATTGAAGCTACATTTGCCAAATTTGAGGCGATGATCACTGCCAAGGTTGATTCTGAAATTAATGCCATAAAACACGGTATACAGCGGTTCGACCTAGATATGAATAAGAAGCTGGGGGACATAACCAAGAGGATTGAAACAGTTGAAAAACAACAAACGGAGGTTAGAGCAGTCCCTGCGACATCACAGAGGTTTGATCCTCAGAATTCTATCATAGTAACTAATGTACCAGCCTCTGAAAATGAGAATCTGAGGGGCAAAATCTCTGTATTGCTGCAGGAAGGTCTAAAAATGGACCACAAAATTATAACAGATGTAGAGAGAACCAAATCAAGGAATGGTCGTCCAGGTGTTGTCAAAGTTCAGGTAGCCACAAGGGATGATAAAATCGCTATACTCCAGAGTAAAATGAAGCTAAGACAGACTGAGAAATTTAAGAATATATACATTCATGGTGCTAAGTCACATGCAGAAAGGCTCATTGAAATTAATTGCCGTGAAATCCTCTCAAACATACCCAATGGTAACCAATACACATTCACAGGTAGTGGTCGTCTGACACCTGCAGGTCGAGAACGAAGACATAATTGGAACAGAGATGACTGGAGCAGAAACAACTGGGATGATGATGACATCAATGAGGATGCTGACACAGTGACTAGAGGAAGAAGTGGAAGGGGTGGCGCAAATGCCCCTATTGCAAGAGGTGGAGCTAGAGGTGGTGCATCTACTGCCAGAGGTGGAGCTAGAGGTGGTAGAGGGACTCACACAATGAGATAGGAATCCTCCCAGTCTCTCCCTCTTAGAAAGTTTGGCCATATAAATGTTTGTGGATTAAAATCGAAATTATCCAATCCAGACTTCAGAGTCAAAATTTCAGAGTATGATATCCTTACCTTAACTGAAACAAAACTGGATAAAGTTGATGAGATAAATATTTCAAGGGATTTAAAAGAACTTGGATATATAACATTTTTCAAAATTAGAAAGAAGATGTCTGTTAAAAAATCTGGAGGGATTCTTGTAGCTGTAAAACAACAATTTAAGAAACATATCAAATATATTGAAAACAAATGTGATTGTGTCCTATGGTTGAGGATTGATAGTCAATTATGTGGTCATCCAATGCTATTAGGAGGTGTATATATCCCACCTGAAGGATCACTGTACTCTGACTATAACTGTTTTGATAAAATTGAATCAGAGATGCTTAGTTTGCAAAATGAAAATGAAGAACTCTGCCTCTTGGGGGATTTAAATTCACATACAGGTTCAATGGAAGATTATGCTAAAATTGACAAGTATATGACGCATTGCATTGATGACAAAATGGTAGAATTTTTTAATGCAATAGATCAGCTTGAGAATTACAATGTTAAAGTGAAACGAGTTTCACATGACTCACACAGGGTAAATAATTTTGGGAATAGACTGATACAAATGTGTAAAGCAAATAATTTATTTATTGCTAATGGGAGATTTGGAAAGAATAGTGAAAATATTACATGTTTTAAAGGAAAGGGTTCTGTAACAGACTATATTATATTATCAACAGGTCTAATATGCACACCAGATCTGAAAAATGTTGAGATAGAACAATTTAACCAAGATTATTCTAACGTTCATTGCTTCATTAACTTGTCTATGACATGTAAGAATCAAACTTTAATCTGTGATGATCAGAATATCTCATTTGTGGCAAATGACAATCATTTTAAATATATATGGTCTAACGATAAGGCTGATGATTTTCAAACAAATTTAGATACTGAAGTTATAAAGCAACTAAATGTATTGTTAGATGATCCATCAACATCTGTTGACGATTTAAATGTAAAGCTAAATGAACGTATTTTGTCTGCTGCTGATAAATCAGGGTTATCAGTAAAAACATGTAAACAAGACGTTTTTAAAAATGGTAAAAATGTTAATAAATGGTTTGATAAAACATGTCATCTAAAAAGGAGATCATATAATAATGCTAAAAATAGGTATCTTAGGACTAAAAGTGAACTAGATAAGCAAGACATGGTACGTAAAAACAAACAATACAAAAAGCAACGCATCAAAGCACAGAAAGAGTACAAGAGGCAATTTAACAAAAAATTATTGAATCTCAAAAAGAATGATAGTAAAAGGTATTGGAAAATTTTAAATCCAAAGTCAAAAAAAGAATTCAATGAAGTCAACCTTGATCTCTTAAGGGATCATTTTGAAAGCTTGTACTCATCTGATGCATCACATGAGATACCAGAAGACATGCCTTCTCAGTATGAGACAGGCTTTGCTTATGACTTGAATATTAAACTTCTTAATTGTGACATCACAGCTGATGAAATTTATTCAGCTATCAAATCCTTAAAGAATGGCAAGTCTTCAGGTATGGATAATATATTAAATGAGTATATTAAGTACAGTAAATCATTATTGATTGACGTATGGGTGAAATTGTTTAATAAAGTGTTAACCTGTGGAGTTATGCCTAGTGACTGGTTGAAAGGAATTATTAAACCGATTTTCAAGAAAAAGGGTAATCTGAACGATCCCAAAAATTATAGAGGTATAACATTGTTAAGCTGTTGTGCTAAATTATTCACTCATGTGTTGAATGTAAGACTGACTGACTTCGTAAATTCAATGGAATTGTTAAATATTAATCAGTGTGGATTTCGGAAGTTTCATTCCACAACTGATCACATCTTTGTTTTGAAATGCTTGATTGATATTCTTTTGACTAAGAAGCAAAAACTTTATTGTGGATTCGTAGATTATTCGGTTGCGTTTGACTCTGTGTGGAGAGCTGGCCTATGGCACAAACTAATTAAATGTTATGGAATCGAAGGAAGGTTTTTAACTGTAATCCAGAATATGTATAATAATATTAAGAGTTGTGTATCTCATGATAATGTTAAAAAGTCTGATTTTTTTAGCTCATCTTTAGGGCTATGTCAGGGAGAAAATCTCTCCCCTTTGCTCTATGCTTTGTTTATAAATGATGTAGAAGCCGTTTTACTTGACAATAGTTGTGAACCTATTCCACTTATGGATGACGCACAACTAAATGTACTTTTAAAGTTGCTTGTTTTATTATACGCAGATGATACTGTGATATTTGCTAATTCTATGACCAATTTGCAAAAGGCCTTTTCTGAATTATCACGATATTGTAAAAAATGGAAAATCCACATCAACTTAGATAAAACCAAGGTTATGGTTTTTAGTAATAGTAAAACAGGTAGAAAAGGTATTCAAAATGTAGTTTTGGATGGAATTAAACTGGAAAATGTGACTGTTTTTAAATATCTTGGAGTTATTATTGATCAAAAGGGTGGATTCAATCAAAATATTAAAAATGTATATAGCCAGGCAGAAAAGGCCATGTTTGCTATACTTAGCCAGGGTAATAGATATTCGTTACCAATTAAGACACAATTACATCTTTTTGATACGCTTGTTGCCCCCATTTTGTTATATGGGGCTGAGGTATGGGGCTTTATCAACAATACAAAATAGAAAAATTACATTTAAAGTTTTTAAAGTATATCCTTAAAGTCAAAGCATCAACACCAACCTTTATGGTTTATGGTGAGTTAGGGAGAATGCCATTAAGGGTAAAATTTGATTTCTGTATATTAAAATATTGGTATAGATTAAGCTCTAACAATGAAAAAACGCTCTCGGCAAAGATGTACAAAATATATAGAAGTTATTTTGATAAAAATCTTGTGAAGTCTGACTGGCTGAATTATGTCAAGAAGTCATTAGATAATCTTGGAATGACAAACATTTGGTTAAATCCTAGTAGTTCGCATTTTTCAAAATTTGTTAAA